ATAACCCTGTTCCTTCTACTGGTAACTTCCTCTTTTTTAACTCGATTCAGACAAAACCGAAGCGCAGGAGAGCAGGTGGAGAAGGTAGAAAAACGGATTCGCTCCCTTTGCTGGTCGCCAGCGCCACCTGGTGGAGAGGCTCCGACCAGCGCCTAGAACACAGCGCACCTGATCCCACTGAGACGGAAATCAGTTTACTCCTTCTGAATTGACCACGTTTTCAAATACAGTGGGGCCTTGACTTACGAGTTTAATTCGTTCCGAGACCGAGCTCGTTAAGGAGCTCGTTAACTCAAATTACTCTATCAACTCAATGCAAAAAATCGGCCGAGAGACAGCTGGTATCTCAAAAAACTCGTTAGTCGGGACACTCGTAAGTCAAGGCCCCACTGTAAAATGAAGAATAATCGATCAAGTTTTTGAAAGACTGATAACATAGGTCATATCAAGTGTCTTACAACACACTTTCAAATATTCTAGAAGATTCGACTTAAACAATGTCGGAAAGGAAACTGCTGTCTGTAAGCATTTTAAATGGCTTGAGCTCTTTAATTCTGAACTCAAAATGGCCTTCTGCTCCCTTGCCTTACCTATGTGCGGGTTGAGAGCAGTCACCAGCATCAGGGACTCGTTCATCAGCTTGGCGATCCTGTCTTTGTTGGCCTGGATTCCCACCACACAGTTTTCTGTGAAAGACACTGCCGCGTCCCCCAGCAGCCTGGCCGAGTGCAGCACGTTCTTAATCTACGAGAGGGAGAGACTTAGTGAGCCTCGCTATGTTCGTCCAACAACATAGTATTATCTACTGGTTCATCAGAGAACACGGAATTCAATACACAGACAGCACCCCTGCAACTTTTAAGGCACCATCCCCAGGACAATAAATAGGAAAGAAATAAACATTTGAGGGCACAGAAATCTAAAAGAGGAATAAGTAACAAATGCAAATAACTACAATGCAAGCTAGCCTGTGGTATTATGAAGCACGGGTATAAAATGGTAGGGCTCAGAGAAGGGGAATGAATTCCAGTTGCAGGACTGAAGTCCCATTGGGGGGGGAGGCCGCACAGAGTGGGGGGGGGGGGGGGAAGGCTCAACCCTGCGGAGGGAGGAGGGAGCAGAGATGTAGAGGTCAGAGTTCAGCATGTGTGCGAGGAAATCAGGGAAGTCAGGGTGTCCAGCTCTTAACGATCACACGTGTTTTTATGGTTAACGAAACAAATATTCCAGAGTCACTTTCAAATAACCTTTCATACAATATTAAAAACGGTATAAAATCAATTCGTTTGTTTTAGCATTTTCTTTCTTTCTGGTAACATCCCAACACGTATTAGGATACGTATCCACGTCCTAATTTCCTTTGGTCTAAGACCCCAGGGTCGGAAAACTATACTCTCAACAATGGACTCTAGTAGAAGTCACAGAACTTCACGATTCATTCACTTGGCGATAATGAGTATGATAGAGCAAATGTTGATTTTCTCGACTTATTTTCTACTAAAGACAAAAGGGATTTTGTTTAAAAGAAAAACAGAGATGAGCAGACATTACTGCCCGGACCTGTATCTGCCAGGCCCGGGGGTCTACTGTTTGCAACGTGACCTGAAAACAAAGCTATGGGCCTGGGTTCTGCTCTGGGCCGTCTCCTTCCTGTTCCCCTAGAACAGTGGTTCTCAACCTTTCTTTGTGATGGGGTGGGGCCACAACATTAGTAATAAAGAAACAGAATTTCTGGAGGATGAGGCCCAGAAATCAGGATTTTAAACAGATTCCCAGGTGATTCTCATGTGCAGCCAAGGTTGAGAACCACTGCCCTAGAAGGTCCCCGCCACCGGGACCACCAACCTGCCTTGTCCACTGCTCTGTCGCCAGCACCGCAGCGCCTGACACAGGCCAGGACACAATCTACGTAACGTTGTCATTAGTGCATTCTAATCAAATTAAAAGCAGACTTTGCACCAGATTGTAGACACAGCGTTTTACATGAATGAAGGCTCGTAGGACGCCAGCTGTATTATCTGCAGCCGGGGAAAGGAGATGATGCCATCCTGTTCCAGCTTCATAAAGAGGAAGAAGTGTTAGGGGACCGGATGATGTTTGCAAAGCATGTGGAAGAGGTGAGGCCAGTGAGAGGGAGACTGAGAGGCGAAGGAAAGGGAGAGGAAATGCTGAAGAAGCCAGGGCGAAGGTGTTGCAGGAGGAAGAGTCAGGGGGTGTGGGCGAGAGAGCCGTGGAGGGACAGTGACTGCGAGAACAATCAAAAGCAGGAGTGAGTGTGGCGGGAGGGGCCGCGAGGGTCGTCGCTCCTTTAAAAAGACAGAAAGGGAAGAAGGAAGAAGGAAGCAGCAGCGCAAGGAGCTGGGACTGAGCAGGGCTGTTTAAACTGAGGCGGCTTCTGATTTCTGGCCGCTGGTACCTCCCCTGGTGAGGGACACGGAAGAAAACTGTACCCTACCTTCCAGAACTTTTCTATTAAAAAAGCGAACCATCGATTTCCTTAAGCTAAAAGTCACCTCACTGAACATCCAGGATCAACCCTCCAATGGTCATACATACTTGACTTCCAACTGCTGATCAGATCATCGGCTGCCTGCTGTGAGATCTATAAAACCTCATGAAAGAAAAACCAAGACGGTTGGCCCTCGGTCCAAACCCTAATGCACAGCTCACTTACCATCATTGGCTTGAAAACGTTCAATTCAAAGTGTCCGTTGCTGCCCCCGACGGTCACAGCGACGTGATTGCCCATGACCTGGGCGGCCACCATGGTCATGGCTTCGCACTGCGTCGGGTTCACCTTGCCTTCAAGAAAAGCACCGGGGACTCCGATCAGACACACGCACGGCTTCGAGCCCCGTGAAGGTTAGGGTTAGTCAAATAATCAAAACCAGAAGGGAGTCTAACTTCATTAAATGAAGAAAGGCATGTAATACAGCAAGGCCCCACCATCAGTGCCGATTTAAGGAAACCAACCAACCAGAGAAAGGAAGGTGGGTAGCCACACCGAACCATTCAATGGCTAATGAGTAATGAGTTAAACAGAGTGGAATACAGTTCTCTCCATCTGCATGGCTTCCATTCATTCTAGAACGTCTGCAGAGCCAGGCACTGAATACACAATGGTGGGTAAGAAAGGTGCTACCCACCAGCGCAGAACTGGAGGCTGGGGAGAGCGCGCTGGCAATGACAAGAGAGACGGAGCCATGCAGGCTGCCGTGGGAACACGGATACAAGAGGGACTTCACCACACGCAGGGGCTGCTCAGAGGATGGTGACACTCACCTGGAATTTTCCTACTCATCACATGACTCTCCAGAACCCCCCTCCTCTGACAAGGTCAAGTGTGAACACGGATTCCAGACCCCTCTAATGGATATAAAGCAACGCACTGGAAGACTTTGCTGTAACTCAGCATTTCTCCTTTTGAGGCAATCGCCTTGAATTGGCAATCGGCTGAACTCATGTCATTTTTCAACATGAAATACTTTGAAGTCAGACCTCTTCTCATCCTGTACTTGCCGAGAGTTAAAAGAATCTGCAGTCGGGTCTTTCTTGTTCACTCTCAAAAGTCACTTTGTTGGTTTTAGTCCAACTACAGAGGCCTTTACGGATCTGATCCTGTCACCTGACATGGTGCTACCTCAACTTCGTTACCTGCTCCTGGGATCAGCACATACCCTCTACCTTCACCTCGGTGCAGCAGTCAGCTTGCCACCAGCTATTCCTCCAGCCCCAGGTCAACTCACGAGTCACTCCTAAATGTCCCTGCGCACCCAGCTACGGCCACGTGACGGTACTGCCACGCTTCTCCGCTGGTTTCAATGCACATCATGTGCGTCTGTCAAATGACTTCCCCAAAGCAAGAAACGGAAGGAGGCGTTTGGCACATCCCCTTTTCTCCAACCCATGCGGATCCCTCTCCTGCCTGTGCTAAACTCTCCTGGCTTTGGACTGCGGAGGCAGAACTATTACACATTCTCCAGTGTGGGAACCAGTATGCATGCTCCTCACTAAAACGCTTTCCTCCTACACGATGGAGTGAGGCCCCTGGAGTCCTGATCACAGGTGGCCCCAACGACCATCTGAAACAAGGGTGCCGCCCACACCCCCGTCCATCTTTGAGATCCTGGGATCCCGCACCAGAGGGGACAGGCTCTGAGGACGGGGATGCCCGGTTCTGCGAGGACCAGCGCTGACGGTGCCCGGCGGGGCAGGTACCTGGCATGATGCTGCTGCCCGGCTCGTTCTCCGGCAGGATCAGCTCCCCGAGGCCGGAGCGGGGCCCGGAGCCCAGGAACCGGATGTCATTGGCGATCTTCATCAGGCTGCACGCGGTCGTGTTCATGGCGCCACTGAGCTCCACCAGCGCATCGTGGGCCGCCAGGGCTTCGAACTTGTTTGGGGCTGTGACAAAAGGCAGGCCTGGAGGAAGAGGGGGTGACAGCCCACGTGAGTCAGCAGGCGAAAGGGCGTGGTTTCCTAAGGTCAGCAAGTTGAACAGAACATCCAGCATACGAAAACCAGACACAACAGAAAAACTTCACTTCAGAAAAATAAACAAGTGTATCTTAAAACTAAAGTTTTGTCTACATATCTTCAAAAGGTCCTGAAGGAGTGGAATCAACGATTCCAGCACATTTAAAGGATGAAAAAACAAGTACGAGAAACATCATGAAGAGAACTCCACCCGCTGCAAACACGTGTGATGCCTGGCTACTCGAGGGAAGGTGAGAAGGAGGCAAAAGTCACTCTGAGAGCTTCAGTCCACGCTCCTTTCCTAGGACAGTCTTCCTCCACCTCAGGCTGTTCTGTTCTCGTCTCCCACGAGGGCCCACGGAGCCCCAGGGCCCACGAACCCCCGGAGAAACGAGGGAGCCAAAATGAATGGGACCATCTCAGTCGGTCTGTCCTGTGTTCAAAATTTTGAAGATCTACGTATTATAATGCAGTTCTTCTTGGTTAAAAAACAAATTTCGCTACTAAGCCATCATAAGCATTGTCCAATTATCTCTACCCTACTCCTCTGCTAACACCTGCATCTTAATAAGGATTTTCTGGACATGATAACCTGGCTCCAATACTAGTTACCATTATGGAGAGTATAGTGCTCTACTAAGAGAAGACAGATTTCGAAAGGGCCTTAGTTCAGAGGATTTTCACAGCATATGCCACAGGGAAAATCAAGTCTGTCCATCTGTACAACATATTTATCATTCAAATGAATCTCTCAACCAACAGTTGATTCTGCCTGTTTTCAAAATAAGTATCTGAAACACCTTTCAAGAGTAACAAAGCTGGCACTGGCGGATTTTCACTGCGTGGAGGAGTGACGTCACCAAGAGGGACAGGCTGGCCATGACTGCTCTCCCTCACCGGAATAGAACAACTAACTGTTCAAGCACAAGACACCCTGGCGGATCCTAGGACGAGGGTGAGGCTGACGCACCCCTGCACCAGAGAGCAGACTGCATTAGGGGTGAGAGAAGTGGCTACACGGTGATCTCCCATGAGCCTCTGGTTCCTGCAGCAGGAGGACACCTAGCCCCCCACCCCCCACCCCGCGCCCCAGCATTGTAGGTCACTTTGCTGGAGCCTCTACTCTGACCTCCCACCATGGGACTGCAGGGGATTCTGCAGGGCTCAGCCACCGGAAATCTGACCGTGACGAAGGAGGGGGAAGGAGCTGGTGACAACCTTGCTCTGCGGAACCAAAGAAGGGGCGCACTCCGACAGGGAACTAGGGGAGCGCAGAGGTTCCCGAATGCAGTGCTGCCAGCCCCAGTCTGGTCTGCCCACGCCCAGGCAAGGAGCGATGTCACAGCCTCCCCCCCCCCCCCCTCAACCTCCCTACCCTCCTCCCACTGGGAGGAGTATCTTCCAGGCCATCGGACCAGAAAGGCTGGTGACAACTACTGGAGGCCGTGCGGCCCAGGGCACTGAAGCCGAGAGGTGGCCGAGATGGCCCGGCTAAGCACCCGGAGCAGAGCCAGAGGCCTGTTTGGTCAGGAAACCTGGAGTGTGGGCTGGCTTGAATGAAGACAACAGAGAGAGACTTCACTGGCCTTAGAACACCCCGTACAGACACAGGCCAGCAGAAGGACAGGAAGTCACATCTCCCAACCTGTGAGCGCGGCCACCTTCGCGGCCACCTTCTCGGCAAAGCCAATTCTCGTGTTCAGCCCGGTTCCCACGGCGGTGCCCCCGGCCGCGAGCTCGTAGATCCGGGGCATGGCAGCCTTTATCCTCGTCATCGCGTATTTCAGCTGCTGAACGTAACCACTGAACTCCTGGAAAGAGAAGGACGTACGGTGAGAATATAGAATTTCCTAATGACGTAAAAGTTACTCTAACTGCACGAAATAGAACTGGGGGAAAAAGGGGACACGTAATACTTTCAACAATAAAGATCTTTTTTAAAAAAGATCTTTAAAAACCACTGCTGACTGGTGAATGCAGAACAACCTGTCACTGAACTGTTACACACCTGGCCTTTGAGGCCAGTGTCACTTGGTGAGGAATTGCTGGCCATGGGCCCCGCCCCCCAACGTGAATCGAATCTAAGCGCACCCCTCTACCTGCCCAAGAGTGAGCGGGACCGCGTCCTGGGTGTGGGTCCGCCCGATTTTGATGATCTGGGCGAAGTCTTTGGACTTGGCCTCGAGCGCATCGTGCAGCTTCTGCAGCCCCGGCAGCAGCACCTCGTGGACCTCCACGGCGGCGGCGATGTGCATGGCCGTGGGGAAGGTGTCGTTGGAGCTCTGCGGGAGGTTTTCCAAAGACAGGCCAGCTGTTAGAGCAGAGGCAACACCACCGAACTGGAATAAAAACCTCCCTAAATGACTACTCGAAACTCGGAAAGGTTTAGTGCTCAATGCCAAGTCTAAGGCCGCTGAGGGTCAAAGGAGCAGCAGCCTGCTTCCCTGCAGGGACTGTGCCAATCCCACCTGCCATGGGTACCTCACCCATCAGCACACCTGCCCGCCGACGAAGGTCAGCACGGGACAGAGGCGTACCGTTCACAGTGACGTGAGGATGGCGATGATACCTGACAGCTACACGGTGCGTACAGTCTCTCATAAACATTTCTGCATCAGTGAAACCTCAGGAGAATTCTGAGCTAGGGCACCACTTTCATAATAGGAAAGCCATCGCCCTCGCCAGTCTGGCTCAGTGGATAAAGCATCGGCCCACGGACGGAAGGGTCCTGGGTTCGATTCCACTCAAGGGCACGTGCCTCAGTTGCAGGCTCAATCCCTGGCCCCAGTTGGGGTGCACGTGGGAGGCAACCAATAGATGTGTCTCTCTCACATCGATGTTTCTCTGTCTCTCCCTCTCTCTTCCACTCTCTCTAAAAATCAATGGGAAAATATCCTCGGGTGAGGATTAACCAAATAACAAAATAGGAAAGCCAAGCTGTCTAAGAAATCATGTGACTTGCCAAAATATTTAGGACTGCAGCACTGGGAACTGACCCTCTGACAGCGTTCTCAACCTTCTGGCCCTTTAAATACAGTTCCTCATGTTGTGGTGACCCCCAACCATAAAATTATTTTCGTTGCTACTTCATCACTGTCATGTTGCTACTGTGATGAATCGTCATGTAAATAGCTGATATGCAGGATGGTCTTAGGCGACCCTTGTGAAAGGGTCATTCAACCGCCAAAGGGGTTGCGACCCACAGGTTGAGAACCGCTGGTCTAGGAGTTCCTTGGGAGAATGGGTGCTTGTGGGGCTGGGGCAGGGAAAATACAGGACAAACCAGGAGCATCTCTTAGTGCGAGAAAGTAAATCAGCGGGTGTTTTAAAGGACCAAGTGCCTGCCCACTACTGTGGAAAGCGACAGAGGACATGCGGCCGTGAGGTGGAGAAGACGAAGGGGATAGGATGAATCCCGCAGACAAAAAGGACATCGGCCGAAAACTAGAGCAACCCTAATGCAGCCTGCAGAGAGCAATGTTTATCTTTGAGAGTGGTAAGTGTAGCAGATGCTTAAAATTAAGGGGAGCTGGGGAGAGGGTATACAGAAACTCTTTGAAGGACCTTTGCAATGTTTATAAGTTTAAATTATTTCAAAATAAAGAGTGTAAAATATAAACCAAAATAATAAAAACATACATATATCCTAAATCCAGCTGTCCTAAGTAATTTTCCCCCTGAAAGTGATTTTATGAAGTTTAAGACATTAGACCCGAGATTCCTGAAAGACAAGAACATCTCAGAAGTCCTTTCCATTGGAGAATGTAAGCAGATGAACCTCCTTGTCCAAAAGCCAGCGCCTGCTGATCGGACGGATCTCAGGCGCCCTGTTCCGTTTCCAACACAGAGAAGCCGCGCGGAAATGCTGACCTGGCTCTTGTTGACGTGGTCGTTGGGGTGCACGGGCTTCTTGCTGCCCAGCTCGCCTCCCAGCATCTCGATGGCTCTGTTGCTAATGACCTCGTTCACATTCATGTTCGTCTGGGTCCCGGACCCCGTCTGCCACACCACCAGGGGGAAGTGGTCGTTCAGCTTCCCTTCGGCTACCTGCAGATCAGAGGTGACAGAAGGGATTGCTTACAGTAAGAACCTTAAACAATTGGTTCACTTTAAAACTTTTTTTCCGAGTTTTTATAAAAATAATAGGAGACCAGGATAGAAAATGTTGAGAACTAAGAACCGTATGTTAGCCATCATAGTTCCAGCCCTCACAAATAATGACTACTGGCATTGGCATCTCCTTCCAGGTTCCACTCCAAGCCACGGGAGTATGTATGTATATATATAAAAAAAAACACATGTTTTCTGTTCATTTTTTCTAAACAAAATTAGGATCACAAAATACATATACTTTGTTACCTTTCCTCCCACTGCTTCTTATATGGTAGGGTTGTTCTATGATATTCTTTAAAAAATTTTCTACAGCATCACCATATAACTTATTTAAGCAGCTGTTATGGTTGGATACTTTCTAATTTGTTATTGTAAGTGGTACTGCAATGAACAACATTATGTATAGTTTTTAAACTGTTATCTTTGCTTCCTTCAGATTATATTATTAGAGGGTTAGTGAAATTACTTTCTCCATACAGATTATCAAATAACAACAAGTTTTTAAATGAACTGTGTATATATAAAATAAGAAATAAAATATATAAACAGTGTCTCTTCAAAGTTTCCTTTAAACTATATAAATTAAAGGAAAAGTCAAGAGAATCAAAAATGAAGGGATACAATCACGCACAAATTTCGCCACCATAGATTAAGCACCAAATTAATGTCCTCACCAAGGGATAATGCTGCCACCCTGCCCTGAGATGCATTCACTCAGACATTCACAGTGCCCCGCCCGCCCGCCAGAGCTTGTCGTCCAGGGGGTGACACGGCTCGGTGCCGCTAGGAAACCACACATCACCTCCTACCTCGTCTGCGGCCTTCATGATTGCACTAGCAATCTTTGGATCGAGACCATAATCCTGGTTTACTTCAGCAGCGGCTCGCTTCAAGATGCCAAAAGCTTTAATAACTGGGATCTAAAATTAATCAGAAAAATATCTCAGATTTGTGACTTTAGTGTGAAAATTTAAGATTATTATTTTATGCAGGTGCAAGAGTTGTACATAAAAACACACATATTCACACACATACACTGTACCATTCATCCTAATCTTCATAATACATTATAACATATAAGTGCTTTATTTCATACTAGAGGCCCGGTGCACGAATACGTGCACTGGTGGGCCTGGCTTGCGGGGATTGGGCCGAAACCGGCTCTCCAACATCCCCCGAGGGGTCCAGGATTGCAAGAGGGCACAGGCCAGGCCAAGGGACCCCACTGGTGCACGATCAGGGCCAGAGAGGGACTGAGGTAGGGCTCTAGGGCGTGTCCGGCCCCTCTCTCCCAGTCCCGATCAGCTGGACCCCAGCAGCAAGCTAACCTACAGGTCAGAGTGTCTGCCCCCGGGTGGTCAGTACACATCATAGCAACCGGTCAAACGGTCGGACACTTAGCATATCAGGCTTTAATTATATAGGATATGAAAAAAACAAATGGTGCTCAATCATATCACCAGCAATCACCATGATTTTCCCTTGCTGGATCCCAATCTACCTTATCATTTTCCCTTTCCTCCTCTTAAAAGAAAAGAAAGGGCAAATAAAATAAAGATAGCAAAATGGTACTGGGAAAACTGGACAGCCACATGCAAAAGATTACACCATACACAAAAATGAACTCAACATGGATTCAGATTTGAGTGTAAAACCTGAGACCATAAAAGTTCTCAATGAAAACACCTCCAAAAGCAAAGGCAACAAGAAGCAAAAATAAACAAGTGGAAATATATCAAACTAAAAAGCTTCCTCATGGGAAAAGTAAATCATGGACAAAATAAAAAGACAAACCACCGAATGGAAAGAAATACTTGCAAATCACCTATCTAATAAGGGGTTAATATCTAAAATATACAAAGAAGTCCTACAACTCACAATCCTCAGGGAAATAAGTGGAAAAACAACAATAAAAAAGTAAGGAATAAGGCACATTAAACCTAGGCCAAGGAGAATAAACCAAGAGACAAACAGAAAAGGAAACAGAAACAGAATATACTTATTTTGAATCTTAAGAAAATAAAGTAAAACATTAGAAGTGTTTTAGTCAAATGGAATGGAGACAAATGGCACATAGGATTAGAAACTTAAAAGCTGAAAACAAAGGGGAGTTTAAATTTCTACAGGTGTTTGGTGGGTTAAACCATTGCCAAAGTCGGAAGGGAATGCCAATCAACTCTGGCCATCTGACTGGGGTGATGACCCCGTGTTTGTGGACTCACACCATGGAGGAAGGGTCAGCACAGAGGAGCTGCTGCTGCTATTAAAATAAAACAGTGAAATGTGTCACTGCAGAGAGGAGAGAAGGCTCTCATTATCCTTAATGTACTCCCATTAGAAGGTCATCATTTTAAATTGTTTTCCTTCGGACCTCAGGGACAAAGGGTCAGGTTTAATCATACTGCTCAGCTCAAGTGCACACAGTCTGCTTCATAGTTAATAAAGTTCAGGAAAATGATCCAGATGAGGGTAAATGTGAAAAAATGGATACCCCAGCGCCCATCGTTCTCGGCCGCGTAATCCAAACAGCTGGCCTGCCCCTGCAGCAGCAGCAGCAGCTGAAATCAAGTCCTGCACCTCCAACCCCCACGCCTCGCTGGCTAAAGCCAGCAAATCAAAACATGAGCCCTGCTTACTCCTATCAATACAGGTTAGGACCGACCTCCTTAATGCCAGGGGTTGAACTCTAAGACTGGCCTCTTTCATCCCAAGAGCTGACTATCTGAGAATGTTTTAGGATCAGTGCCTGCCCCGTGTCACCCACACATGTCATCTGAGCCTGTGTCTGTCTCCCTCACCAAGCTGACTCCAGTGGCAATAGCAAAGATTTTCTTCCAGAAGATTCAGCTGCCTATTGTCAAGTTGTAGGAACCTGTCAAGATCCAGTCTTGAAGGCTTAGGAATGAGCTAACCTATGGAAGCTAAAAGTACTGTGAAATAAAAGTATGTTTAAAGATAACTGTTAAGCATTATCTCATTGGGCGAACCTTGGTTACTTCTAAGCTGCTAGACCATCCTGCACTCTGCAGTGACTATTGCTCACACCAGTTGGTCTCAGTCGGATATGTGATATATGTAATCAATTCTTTCCACTTTAACATTTCTGAAATCGAGGTGCACCTCACAATCGATGACACGTCCCAACTTTAACTGACAGCCCTTTTTTGTGGTACATGTCGGCGCATCTTCTAACTGATGTCATCTTAGCTTTAATGAAACACGACAGAAAGTGTTCTAATCATTAAATCATTCATGTGGCACTGAACACATACATATATATTATCCATTAGATGTCAGACATGGTAAAAAATAGTTT